AAAGTTTATTTAATGTAATCGCTACATAATGCTAACATTATTTTGATCCTTGTTTTTTTTTTTGGCCCTTAGGCCTACGGCTCCCGAAATAAAATATTGTTTAATAAAACAAATTATATAACATTGCTATCATGAAACTTAACTTAGTTACTATCTTAATCTTTTTTAAGAATTTTTTTGTCTTGTTTAAAAATGAAATAAAGGCGTCATTACTTTCCAGGAGCTCGTTTTCAATCCACAGAAAGAAAGCAATTTGAATGTTTTTGTCAAACGGTGCTTTAAAATTTATATAACCCAATTTATAGAATTTGAAGATGTAGATGATACATTAGTTATAGCAATTGTAGCAGAAGAGAAGAATTGTTTAAAAATGTAAAATGATTTAAGAAAGTGGATTCAGACACTATTTAGGGAAACTAAACCAATTTAAATTTAAATATTTGATTGAGAAGCAGAACAAGAATGCTTAAAATGCAAAGTTCCAAAGTTCTTAGAACGCAATGGTTTCATTGAGTTTTAACAGCAAAAAATAGGATTACGTATTTCATTAAAAAAAATTATTTCTGCATAAAAATTTTATTTTATACTTTTTTTAACAATATGCGAGAAAACGTTGAAAAATAAAAACTAATCTTTTTAATCTCTTAAAGAAAGTGTGATATATTCTAAAAAAGTTATTGAAGATAAATGTTTAAGCAGGAGCACTTGTCAATATGTATGATTACACTATATAATAATGCTATTGAAATTTCTATTAAAACTATTTTTTCGGCACATAAGAAATGCCTTTATTAATTAAGTTTTTATTTTAAGAGAAAAACCGAAAATAATAAATTTTATTATCATAAATACAACTTTCAAAATAATTTAATAAATCAAATCTGTATAATGATAATTTAAATGGAATATAAATGTTGATAATTTATTTGATTGATAACTCATTTACTAAAGATAATAATGCAAATATATTTTGTTTTTAATGATCCTTTTATATTTAAAAATGCAAGTAGCTGCTTTTCTCATTCAGGACCTTATAAAAGCATTTGCATATGTGAAATAAAAATCAATAGTTTTAATTGTAATATATTTATATATATATATATATATATATATATATATATATATATATATATAGATATAAGTTACATTAATAATGTAATATATATTCAAAGAGTATAGTTAAGGCCGGCGCGTGACACCTACTCGCGCCGCCCCTGAGTATAGTCATATTATACAAAATAAGAAACGTTTTTGATAAAAATAACTTAATTCAATTATATTATTCGTTAACTCATTGCCATATCAACTATGCAAACATCGCTTGGGGTAGCATTTATAAAAGTAAACTTAAACTTCTCTATCGGCAACAGAAGCATGTAGCACGCCTTATAAATTTTAATGACCGTTTTGCACACGCCAAGCCTCTTTTATCTCTATAATTAATAGCCGAATGAATATTACTATTATTATTAATAAGCATAGTTACGCATTGTTACGCCTATTGTTTGTTTTGTTAATTACGGTTCTGCATTATGTAAAATACACTATTTCTTAGTTTTTAAGTTGTTTCTAGACTTTTCTAAGCGCAGTTATATATTCCACGCGGTCTTTCGAGTAAAATCAGCAAGCAAATTGGAGCTGATACGCTTACTTTCAAGAAGAATTGATGTTGTTTGTTTTTTAAGATAAAAATTTAAATAATTGTTAGTTTGTTATGTATGTATATATATGTATATCTATATGTACTTTTTCTTAGCAAAAATAGTTGAGAATAGAAAAACAAAAAAAAATTTTTCTGAAATTTGTCAAAAGGGTGTTGTGTTATGCTTCATTTTAAGGTATCTAAATATGTATTTATTTTTCATTTTTTAGAATAAGTTAGAACTAAATTGACTGGTAAAATAGTTTTTTTAGTACAATGTTTCTTTTTTTATGAAAACTGTTTCAGTTTGGTCGTTAGTCTTTTTAAAACATTTTAAGCAGTATTTGTTTTATTTTTTAGAGCAGTTAAGAGGAGCTGATTGCTTTTTTTAGTAGGTTCAAGTTATTTTTTTATACATAAATTAGGATTTTCGAATTATTTTGGTCTATTTTATATTTCTCTATCTATATATATATTTTCTCTAAGGATAAATAATAAGGAATAGAAAGTTGAGAAAATTTCTTCTGCAATTTGTCAAAAGACAAATTGCAGAAGAAACTTTCTATGCTTCATTTTAAGGTATTTAAATATGTATTTATTAGAAATTTTTAATTTTGTTCTTAAATGGTTTCTTCTTTTTCATTGCTTTAGATTAATATATACTGACTGATATAACTTCATTTTTATTAACAATGTTGTGCATTGTATCCGCAGTCTTTGTTGCATTAAAAATAATTGATGCTAATAAATGTTGTTTTATAGTTGTTAAAAGATTGCATATAAGTTTGCATGTATATTATACTCAAAGTTTAAAATTTTTTGATAAATACGTGTATGTGGTGATATATGTTATATAGTTGTTTTATAAATGTGTTTATATAAATGTGTTTTTATAATAGTATGAAATGTATTATATCTAATTTGTGCAAGATTGTTAAATGGGGTGTTTTTATATGCTAAGTAACATTAAAAAAATATATTGTGTTTTATAATAAGTATATATGTTTATATAATGTTGTTTCAATGATTTCAAAGTAGAGTTACTTGGCAAACGTGTAGAGTAAGATTTATCAACCTAACCAGTCAAGCGATGTTACTGCTTTAGTAAGTAAGTTTAATGTTTTGTTTTATTTTATATTAGATATATATTTTATGTATTTAACATGTAAAACTGACTGTAATTTTTGACAGGTAAGTTTATATACATAAATGTGCCTATATATCAGAATATTTTATATTTCTTTGAATCTATATAAATATTATCTCATAGAAAAAATTAAAAAGAATAGAAAAAACTTGAATATATATACATACATATATATATATATATATATTACTTTAGACTAGCATTGCTTCATTTTTTATACAAGATTCTGCATTTATTATTTTTGTGCATTAAAATTGTTCCTGAAGGTAAAAATAACTTTGCATTGTAGCCTAAATTCTTTGCTAAATTAAAACAATGTCAAAAATATTGCTTTATTTTTTTCAGTTGTAAAAATATAAAACTGTTTATTCAGTTGTAACAGTAGTATAATCACTGGTAATATATTTAATGATAACAGATGTATAATATTAGGCTCGATGAAGTTATTAGTGTTATTGGTTATAGGCGACTTGAAATTGTTGTCATATGAAAGAAATAGATCTAGGCCTAATAAAATTAATTTTCGTTGAAATATAAGAAATTTTGCTAGATGAACAGAAAACTTTTTTGCCAGAATTCAGTGTCAAGCGGTGTTGATGTCTATTATTTGATTTTACATTAGACACTTTAAAATATGAATTTTAAAGTATAAATTTACTATTTTTAATATTTTAATTTTAAAGTATGAATTTTACTATTTATTATAACAAGTAATAATAGTTTCAATTTTTAATGATTTTTTTTTTTATTAGTAATCTTAAACATTGTGTTCATTTTTTTTTAGTTGTCTTTGTCATCACTTGATTATTTTGCTTAATGTTGAAACATAGTTTTAATTTTGTAAATTTAATATGATGTGAAATTTACAATATTAATCATTTGTCAACAGTTAAAGAGAAGCTGGAACTTAATTAAGAAATGCTGAAAATTAACTTTTAGTTAAGGTAAAAATAATTTTGTTTATTGGTAGCATAATAAAACCAGTTACTGTTATTTATTGACTTTTTTACTTTTTCTAACGTGCTGTTTTTAAAACACTTCCTCTCTCTCTTAGATGAGACTTAAATAAGAATTAGTATAGAGAGAGAATAGATTAAACTCATGTAATTACTGAGCTCTTTCGTATTTTTTAATACTGCGATTGATAATTTGCTATTTAAAGATATAATTCTTTAAATTGTCCCTTGGTTGTTATTGGTTATTGTAATAAATAAAATCTTTTTAGTTTTAAATATTTTCTTTTAAGGATAGTCTATATATTACGTAACGCGAAATTAATCCTGTATAATATAATTTATTCTTTTTAACTTTATTTTAATCTCAATGATTCGTGTTATAAAAATTATAACAAGGATTTCGTTGATACTTTCGTCAATTTAAAGCATGACAAAGTGTTATTATTTTGTGTGAGTAACTAAAAACGTATTGTGTTAAACTTAGGAAGGTCGATAAAAATGGTTCTGCCTTACACTGTTATGACCTATGCCATTTGTAAATTACTCAAATAATGTTAAGTAGTAATTGTAAATGTAAAGTAGTAGTTAGTAAATTATTTTACCTCCTCATACTTTTTGTGTTAATTTTTTCAAGCTGAAGGCGATTTTCTAAAAGTAGGTACGCGGATATCGCGATTTACGGAACCGATTTTTATGCTAAAATTTTGGTTCTCGTTTTTTTAATTCTTTTTTTAGGCAGCGTGAGGCAGACGTAGTTTTGTGGAGTTTCTCTTTAGAAACAGATATACACATAGATACTTTTTGAAAAGAAGAAAAGCTAATCTTGCTTTATTTAATAAATTTATGTATTGTTATTACACTTTTTTGTTGATTATTTTGCTTCTGAATATTTGGTTGATATTCTCACATGAATTTGTAGTAGAAGAAATGTTGATCCGGTTGTTTTTTTCATTCAGACAATTTTTTACATGCATTTTCTATGCGCATGCCAAATTTCAACGAAAAATAATTGGTAGCAGATAGTTTAAAATGTGTTATATTACGTATACTACTTATTTTGGGTAGCTTTAGGCAAACGTTTTTTTGTGTGTTTCTTTTAAGAAACATGCATAAAAATTAATTATTTTCATAAAGGAGAAAAGTTGATCTAGATTTTTATATGACTTTTATGTATGGTTACCCAACATTTTTATGGTTTATCTACCCAGCCTATTTTATTTATTTTTATTACTTTTTTTAACTTTAGCAACATCATCATCTGCAATGAGTGGTAAGTTTAGCAATTATTAATTTTTAATTTTTGCATTTCTTGACACTTCCAAATTTATTTTTTATTAAAACTTTTTAGCTCTAGTTCCATCCTCAATTGCATTGAGTGGTAAGCTTAAAAATATTTTTATTGCATCCTTCAAAAAACCTGTTCATGTATGTATGTATTTCGGATCAATTGCAATATTTAATTTTTACTACACTTTTTTTTTAACTTAGTTCCATCTCCATCTGCAATAATTGGTATGTTTACAAACTTTCACTTTTCAATATGTTTATGCATTTCTTGGCAATCACAATATTTATTTTTATTTCAACTTTGTTAACCTTTAGTTACATCTTCAGCTGCTACAAGTGGTAAGTTTATAAACTATTATTTTCTAATATGTGTATGCATAATATACATGTGTAAAAGTATTGTTTCTAATATGTATATGCTTATCTATTGATAGCAAGTAAATTGTAATTTTATTTTTTAAAAATTTTACCTTTAGTCCCACAACCTCTACAACAACTACAGATTTAGGGTCCAGCACCCTAGACCAATTAGTAATCGGTCATTTTTGCGGTGGGTCCGGTTAGGAGGGAATGATGGTGAATCATTCAGCTGGGCCTATCATCCTCCTAACAGGATTGCTGGGAGCTACAGTAGAAGAGGAAGCCTTGGAGGAGGTCGTGGGCAAAGATGGAATGGTGGCGGCCTTGTCGTGAATGGTGGCATTCACTATTACTAGGCGCCACCATTCCTATTTTGTTTTTTTTAATAAATATATAACATTATCAAGTTTGTTTTCCATTTTGTCCTAATTTTTACAAATATTGCCATTTGATTTATTTATTTTAAATCTTACACAAAATGATTTAAAAACGAAGCGTTGACAGGTGTAATAGTTTGCAAGGGATCTATTTTGTATGTTTTCAATGTGATTAAAAGTTGTAGTGTAGAAAGTATTAAAGTTGTAACTATAAATAGTTATAGACTTTTTAATGCGTTTAGGATTTTTTGAGATTTTAAGGTTTTCTCATAGCCCATATTAAATGTAGTTTCAAATTTATATGTAATGTTTTATTGAGTTGATAAATGTTAAGTATCTTTTGCATACCTAATTACTATTCTTTATTTTGTTTTAGTTTATATACTGTTTTTTTGAGTTAAGAAATATTATTTGATTTTAGACCAGTTTAATTTTTTGATTTTAAACCAGTTTAACTTATTTTTACAGTTCCTAAATATTAAATTTATGTAACCATTACTTGTTTGTAGAAGATATGTATGAGATTTTTTTTTTACATGTTTTATTATAATGTTATTAATAATTAACAAATTTTTATATATTGTTTGTTTACTTTTCAAAAAATTTAATTAAAACTATGGTATATTAACTCTTTGTGTGTGTATATATATATATATATATATATATATATATATATATATATATATATATATATATATATATATATATATATATATATATATATATATATATATATAAATATATATATATATATATATATATATATATATATATATATATATATATATATATATATATATATATATATATATAAATTATTTATTATTTTTTTTTTTTCTTAAGAATTATTGGTTCAAAAAAAAGTGGAGCTATGTTTGCGGATGAAGTGAAAAAAGATTAATCTTACATGAAGTGCCTATAGACGGCTCTGGCTTACCTTCACGTGGTGTTTATTGTAAAAAATGATTTATTTAGTTTCATTATTGGAATTTTAAATAATATTATTTACTAAAAGCCAAGACATAAATTTATATATTTTGTATTTTAAAACTTTTTAAAATATAAGTTTTAAAACTTTGTTTAACTTTTAGGGTGGATACTCAAACTTGCATCTTGTAATGTGGTAAGATTAGAAAAGTTATGTCTCTCTTTATACACAATTTAAAGACATTTTTGAAGTTTTTATTGACATTTTTTTTAAGTATAAATGAGAAGAGGAGAGAGGATGGGCGTTGGCACACACCCCTCCCCTCACTAACATGGTAAAATAATCTGGAATACTGATTTCTCTTTTTAAATAAACTCAGTTTAAAACCATTTTTCAGATATCTTTTAACATTTTTTTTTAGATTGGAGAAGACTGAGAGGAAGGGGGAGGGGCGTTAAGGGTGGCATCGTCCTGCCCCTAATTTCAATATATGCACCACTTGTATATGCTGTTATGTAAAAAAATATAATTTAAACTTTTTAACATAAAATATAATGTGTTAAAAAGTTGTTTTTTAGGTTCAAATATTTATAAGATAGTAACATTTCACTACGAGGGTGTTAAAACGTAACAAAGACATCCACCCTTTAATCTAAAATATACCACTAATATTTGGAAATGTAATGGAAGCAAATTAGAACAACTTTTTGTGTATAAAGTTATCAAATTTTTTCAGAAAAATACTCATTCGTGTGAAAAACTTGTATTTTTTTAAGGTTACGATGGTGTTCCGATACCCCCTCTAGCCCTCTAGACACCCCTTTTATCTATAAAACTATATGAACTTGTAGCCTATTACTACATCTATCTTTTGATACCAAGGTATAGGCATTTGGATAAGATTTAACAAAGTTATAACAATTTTAGTGAAAAATAAATAAATTTTAGAACCAGTTTCTTCAAGAAATCCATATATCGAAAATTTGCTACTAAAAACGTCATAACGTTTTTTTAAAATGTTCGTTTTTAATAATTTTTTCACCATTAAAATACTTTATTAAAGGGCTTTCTAATGATATATAACATTCTAGTATATGTTTAATTTAAAAAAATCAGTTCACGTACCTACTAAAAGGGTATTACTAAAGGTTTTGCAACATTATATTGTGGAAAACAGCCACTATAAATTAATTATGTAACAGACCGACCAAAACCCGTATTACGGGTTGCTTTTTGCTAGTATGATATGAGAGCACTTAATATATATGAGTTAAATGTTTTTAATATTTTTTGTTTTATGTATAAATGCAAGACCCACCTATAACCCGATTCTTTTCGTAACTTGTATTTACAATGAGATAGAAATAAATATATTCTAAAGAACGACTACATAATTCTACAACCATTTTCCCAAATTATTTTTTGAAAAATTTTTAATTTATTTCACGGACCATTTCTTCGGAATAATATAGTACTAAATACTTCTAAAGATTTTTTTCAAGAATGTAATTTTTATTCTTTTAAACAAAATCTTAAAAAACTCATTTTTTCAACTGCAAATATACTAATCTACTTTTAAATTTTTGAAAATCCCTTATTTGTATTAGTATATGTGTATATTTAATGTACATTCTTTTTTATTTATTTATTTTTTATCAACAAGCAATTATTTAACCTGTTTTATTTTAGTAAATTATTTAACATGTTTTAATTTTCACGTCTTAGAACTCTTATATTGTAATATTGTATGTTTATTTATATTATTATATTACAAACTTTATATACTTTTATTATTAAATTTAATTTTGTAATAAATTGAACAAATATAAATAAATACAAAGAATAAAAACATTAAAAAAAAAATTAAAAAAAAAAAAAAAACGTTAAAAAAAAAAGTTCTTATTTCTTCAAAAGAGGTTTCTCTGTAACAAGACCTAATGGTCTTCTTTGAGTATCCGCGTTCTTTATAATTGTTTTTATTCTATATTACTTCACGATATCTTGACTTGTTATCTTTTCTTTTTTCTTTTTTATATTAGTTGTATTTGTATTATAAATATTGTAATAATGAAAAATATATATATATATATATATATATATATATATATATATATATATATATATATATATATATATATATATATATCCATGTTCTAATTTCTTCAATAGCGGTTTCTCTGTGACAAGACCTGATGGTCTTCTCTGAGTATCCGCATTCTTTATAATTGTTTTTATTCTTTATTACATAATGATATCTTGACTTGTTACCTTTTCTATTTTCTTTTTTATATTATTTGTATCTGTATTATAAATATTGTAATAAAGAACAAATATATATACATATACAAATATATATATATATATATATATATATATATATATATATATATATATATATATATATATATATATATATACATATATATATATATATATATATATATATATATATATATATATATATATATATATATATATATATATATATATATATATATATATATATATTTATATTTATATATTTATATATTCATATATACATATATACATATTTATATATATAAATATATCTTCATATATATACAAATATATATATATATATATATATATATATATATATATTTATATATGTATATATATATATATATATATATATATATGTATATATATATATATATAAAATATAAAAAATATTAAAAGATAAAAATATTGATGATTTTACCCTTAATTGGTCCATCCTTAAAACAGTGCCTGCATATTTCAATATTTCCAAAAAATGCATACTATGTCTACAAGAAAAATTTGAAATAAAGACACATACAACCTAGAATGTTTATTAAACAAAAAATCGGAAATGATTTATAAATGCAGGCACGAAAATAAGTGTCACCTAAAAAACTATATAAATAAGTGAGCTCAGATAATAGTTACATTAACTCCCCTTTGAAAAAAATATATTATTTTTAAAAAAAGCCTAAGTATTCATTTCTAAAGAATTCTTTTTACAATAGTGTCAGCAAATAACACAAATGTGTGAAAAATTGCAATAGTTAAGACCTGTGCCTTCCTGTAAATAAATTTTTGGTATAAATTGAAGTTTTAATAATTTGATCATTCATTTCTGATGAGTCTTTATTGATAAAACACTGTGTTAAATGAGAAAAAGTTTTGCAAAGTGATTTTCTACTAATTTGCAATTGCTCTGTGCTTTTAAGAACATTGAGCACTCTTTTTGTAGAACACATTTTAATTTATTTAAATGTATATATATATATATATATATATATATATATGAATATATATATATATATATAATATATATATATATATATATATATATATACATATATATATATATATATATATATATATATATATATATATATATATATATATATATATAAATATATATATATATCCATAAATATATATATATATATATATATATATATATATATATATATATATATATATATATATATATATATATATATATATATATATATATATATGTCTTTTGTTCTTGAGGTTTCACAAATTTGACGGCTTCTAAAATTATTGAAAAATGTCAACACATACTTTACTCACATTAAATTATCCACAGTTGTGTGAATAATTGGTTTATGTCTAACTTTTATCCAAATCAGGAAATTATTACTTTTACCAACTTGATATTTACAAAGTTTTGCAGTTCATTTTTAACCAAAACGTGGTCTATATCCAATGTATACTTCATTCTAAATTCAGAAATATATCTTAAATTACAAAAAGTTAAAAGTTTTTAACTTAAAAATTTATTTTTAAAATTAAATTTTTTTATTTTAATTTATAACTTATAATTGATTATAATATATAATTAGTTATAATTTATAAATTATTTATAATTTTATTTAAATTTTATTTTTTCTTAACTAACAAAAAATAATTGCATTACCGGGGTTAGAAGAAGACAAACCTAGGCTTGTCACCAAGCCCCAATAATGCGTCATCCCAAGATAGAGTATAGTTAACAATAAAATATAGTTTCAATATAAATATATCTCTGAATTAATAATATAAAAGAAAATGTAAATATAGCGCTCAACGTTTTACGTTACGTTTTATATTAGTGAAAAAAAAATGTTAACAAGGTTTAAATGGCTTGAAG